TGGCCTTGAACTTGAGATCCTCCTGCTTTAGCCTCCTGAGTCCTGGGATTACAAGCATGTGCTGCCACCATGCCTGGATTACTAGGAGAACTTTTAAAGAAAGCAAATTTAAGGAAGTGGAACTTGTGAGTTAAAAGAATGCTTCTCCTATGCAAAGAACCAAAAAAAAAACAATAATCTAAACTTTGTAGACAATGGTAATAGTTTTTATACTCCCCACCTTTTAACTCACAAGGAAAGCTTTCCTGTTAGAGACTAGCCTAGTGCAGCAACACTAAAAGTGTGGTCCATGGACCAGCAGCATCAGCATCACCTGAGATCTTATGAGAAATGCAGTTATCTCAGCTCTCCCTCACCATAAATCTAAAAATGAATCTCTGGCAGTGGAGCCCAGAAATTGATTTTAATGCATTTTCTAGCTGATTCCTATGCAAGTTAAAGTTTGAGACACTAACTGTATTTTGCACTAACAGATACAAATGAGTAAACATGCCATGGCAATAGCTACCCTCAAACACAAGGTAACCACCACCAGCAAACTATGCATGCATGGGGAAAGAATCTGACTAACTACAATCTCAAGAAAATACTCTCAGAATAGGTACCATGGTAAATATAAAGAGCTTCTCTCACAAGATAATATAGACACATATGAAACAGAATAATGAAATATTACAGAACTCAAGAGAAATTATCCCTGTTGAGTGTCAATGATCAGATACTTCAGAGAAGGTGAACTGAGGGAAGGAGAGGGGCATTCCAGGAAATAACTAAGAATAGGAAATTCACTTTAGATGTTGAATATGGAGAAACTATCTTGTGAAAAAGATCAATAATCTGGGGGCCTTTCTTCTGAGAATATACTTGGTTATGGTTTGGGAATAAAGGTACTTGACCTTATAGAGAACTCAGTCCTATGAGAAAAAAGTTTATACCAGGTAGGAGTAAGGGTATGCCACTTACAGTAAGGTATGAGGCAAGAAAGCATAGTGCTACTAAAGTAGGAAAAATGAAAGGGACCCATAAGGCCTTTAGAGAGAACTGGAATCTTTCAGTTCTATATAAGGCTAGTGATAAATAAGAGTTTAATGTGTGGAGTGACAGTGCAGGTTTGGGGCTCACTGGAATTCGGGAGTCTGTGGCCTATTGAGAATGATAAGGGACAGATGGGACTAGAGGTCCTATGAGATATTTTGGGGCTTCTATGGAAAATGGGAAAAGAAGAATGAAATGACACATGGTGTCAGGGTTTAGAACTTAAATGTCCTCCAAAGCCCACATGCTAAAGCATTGATCATCAGCCTGTGCATTTCTTGTAGAAATAGATAAAGCAATAATGAAATTCATATGGAAAAATAAAAGACCCAGAATAGCAAAAGCAATTCTAAGCAGGAAGTGTGAA